CAGGGACTTGAAGTGCAGAGAAGGAAAGAGGCTCACCCTAGGCCAGCTGGCGGTAAGCTCAGAGCTCAGACACAGGTCTCCCCACTCCCAGCTCCAACCACTTCCTAGCACAGGAGACGCACGAGCATATCCATGCAATATCTGGATGGCCCCAACCTTTGAAGGAGGTATACTTCCTCCCCCACCTAGGGGCAGGGGGTAGAGAATGCCTTTCCCTCCTTGGGGGCTTTAGAAAGATTCTGTGGCTCACAGCTGGGTGGGTAGAAAAGCCTAGAAGACCAGTTACTCCTCAATGCCTGGGCTCACCCCACTCTGAGGTCAGAAAGGTCCTCTTTTTTCCCACTTTTCCCAGAAGGATCTGTCAGCTGCATTCTCCTCTGAAGAGAGCCACCTCTCCTTCCCCAACCCTAGGCTACTTGCCCCTAGCCCAGACCATTCAAAGTCTAGAGAAAGCCTCAGGGTCATAGCTCTCCTCGCCCACGTTGTGTCCATATCACCTTTTCAATTCTGCATCTGCTCAAGTACCACGCAGGTTTATTGGCATTAAGTTCTGCAGAGAGCAGGAGGGAGACACTGGCTGAGTCTGTTCACTGGGAGTTCCACTTAGAGCCCTCCCTGTGTTCATCAGTGACTGAGCAGGCACCCAGATGCCAGAGAGCATGGGTGCTGGTGGGACCTGGCCGGGTTTGCCGCCGGGAAAGATGCAGGAAGGGAGGACAGAGTGCGAGAGAAAGGACTGGGCACCGCTGTCTAGCTTCTGCCTCTTTCGACCTTCCCCACAGAGGTCTTCCCACTGGGCAGCCACCCCTCACCGGAGGTCCTCCAGGCCAGACTCCACCCATGGCTCACCTCTGAGCCCCAGAGCTGCTGACAAATGCTGTGAAATTCTAGGAGAACTTTCCCTGACAGCGGCCCCTTCCCCCTTGCCTTCCCTGCACATTAAAGCAGGTTCTTCCAAGAACATCACTCAGCCCCAGGCTCCTGGTATTATTAAAACATTTGACCTGTTTCTGTTTTAAGCAAAAAGGGTCCTATCAGAAGAATACAAACAAATAAGCCACAACTTTTGCTCCCTTTCGACATCAAGCTCCGCCCACAATAGGTGTGGGGTGGTCAGGAGGGCTGTGAATTCACTTCCAAAAGACCTGGATTGATTCCCCTGCCACATCCCCCCAGGGAAAGGCCTGCCTTGGAAGGGAGACCACCCGCTTAAAGCCTGGCCATCTGATCTGGTATCTGCCCATCTGTCTGTCTGTCTGTCTGTCTGTTGGATCAACAGCCTCCAGCCAGCTCAGCTCCTCACCAGCCCCAGCCCCAGCCAGCTGTAATTCCTGCCTGTTACAAGTGTTAACACCTGGCCCGGGGCCTTCCTCCCCCGCAGTCTCCAGGTGCCTCCCTGGGCCCAGCCCACTGACCCCCACGGGGTTTGACTGAACATGTTCACAAGCCTCTGAAAGGCAGAGGTGGGAGTGGGGGGGGGGGGCAACGGGACACCTGACAGATGGGGAAACTGAGGCAGGGCTTAGGGCAAGCACTTGAGTGGGGGAATGGATCTGAGGAGGGTGGGGGGAGAATTCAGGTGTATATCCCAGCTCACTGCCCTTGACTTCTGCAGAACATTTTCTCTCCTAACCCCAGCAGTGAGGCAGGGCAGGCTGGTGAGCTCCAGGTAAAAGGGGGGAAAACAGAGGCCCAGGTAGGTGCGTCACACAGAAGTGGGGTGCGCTCCCGACCCCCAGCATAGGCCCCTCCAATCAGGGCCCCTGCCTCTGGAATGTAGTAAGCACTAGGCTGGGCCCTAATAAGCCAGTTCGTTTCCCCCCCCCAAGAAGGAGAAGAAAGACAAGTTCCTCCACCAGGCTCTAACTGTGACTGACAAGAAGAATTACAGAAATCAGTGCTTGCTGTCACCTCTTCCTGTCCCAGCTCTGCCACTACTTGGCTGCAGGGCCCTGGAGCACGTCTTCTGTGAGCCTCTCTGTCTGAGGCCCCTCACACTCCACCTTCTGGTCTACCTCCTCCCGGGCCTGGGGGCGCAGTACAGGACGTGGAGATGGGGGTGCGTCCCTGAGGGGTGTCACGGATAGAACCCCCAGCTAAATGATTTTCCCTCTAAATCCCTCCTGGGGAATGTGTCGAACTGTGTGGGCCAAAGTGGGCAGCCCACCCGGGGACAGAGGGGGAACAGGAATCTGAGGCTCATCCACTCCACTGTCCCTGTTCCAGCCCAGACCCTGCCCCCGCCCCAGCCCTGAGAACCAAAGACAATAGGCCTAAGAGGGGAGGGCTGCTGACCACAGTCCTCAGGCGGACAGGATAAGCTTGTGCCAAGGAAGGCTCTGCACCCCTCACAGCCCAGCCGAGGCCCTGGGTCCACTGTGCCCCTTGCGGCCTCCTCGTTAGACTTTTATCTCCTGCCAAACTGTCCCTACAGGACCAGGAATGCCCACGGACCACCCAATCTCAGGATGTCACTTACACCCATAGATCATGTATGTGCGTACATACAGCCACAGGCCCAGCCACAGTCGCTGGCACTGGAAGACGGGGTCATAGGCAGACCCAGACACAACACTCACATTCGTACTTACATACATACGACACAAGTCATGTGTACAATCAGGTCATGGCCGTGAGCACCAGTACCCATGCACAAAGACATCTGTGGGGCTTTCTCCTTATAGTCACAAAGGCATGTGCACACACATGTATACACAGCACTCACATGCCCAGTCATGAACACAGTCATGTGGTGTCATAAGCAGACACAGGTGCTGACCTTGACATAGGCATAGATACTTTTAGACTTCCTCTCTCACTCTCTCTCCGCACCCCCAAGAATCAGCCACTTGCTGACACTTTTATGCAGACATAGCAATAACCCCTGTCAGGGGCTGTGGATTCCCCAGGCATATCGTGCATGAAGTTCACATCCACGGTCACCCAGTTGCAGACACAGACACTCCTATACATAGAAACTCACTAGCGTACAGATGACACCCCATAGGGTCATAGACCTAGAGAGTGCGCACACACAGGTCTCTGCTCAGACAAAGCAGCATCTCTGTCCTTCCAACCCACAAACAATTCATGTGGCCAATGTCACATTAGGGCCAATGCTCTGGCCTTCCAGGTTTTTCTATTGAGCGGTCCCTATCTAGCTGTGCCCCCATACACCATTATACACCGACCCCCACCCTCCCACGGGCACTGCCCGGGGAAGTGCCTCTTCCGGTTCGCAGAGTGGGGAAACCTGGTCATCCAGCTGACCCCCTGCAGCCTGTGGGGCTCTGCACCTTCTTTCCCTACCCTCCCCCTGGCCAGGGCCCCTGTGAAGGCAAAGAACATGGGCCCAGCAGGGGGATCAGAAGAGGGTCAGGCAGGGCCACAGAGGCAGGACTGGCTTCCACAGTGGCCTTCCCTGCAACAGGCAAAACCCCCAGCCTGGAATCCCCGGATGCCCAGGCCACCCCCACCGACTTCTTTATGTACAGGAGGCCTCAGGCCAGCCCAGTGCCAAGGGAAGGGTGGCCTGGACAGAAGAAAGACTTCCCCTTGGATGTCTGTCCTGGGAGCACCTCCAGGCACCTTCCAAACAGAGACCTCGTCCATGCCCTGCTCCCGCCCCCATCCTAGCCCCCAACACCCAGAAACAAGTGCTGCCACCACCAAACACCTGGAGGCAGACTCAGGGTGTGGCCCCCCAATCTCCTGGCTCTGCTCCCCTATCCCGGGCTGGAGACGAGGTGGCAAGCCAGGGAAAGGGGGACATGCAGGTGGCACCACACCCTGGTGGCTCTCCGACTTTCACCCGGGGGCCACAGCCCCTCTTTTTACTCACAGATCCTGAATTCTTCTTACTCACCTCCCACCCCCCCAGGCCCAGGCTGTCCTATGTCCAGGAGGGGAAGATTCTCTAATTAAAGTTTTCCGGAATGCAGGGGGCTGGAGGCTGAGGAGAGGCGGGTGTAATTTAGAGCACTGGTTTCAGTGTGCCTTTCCCTTCTGGCCTCCGGGACCTGCCGGGGGTGATGGGGCTGCTTGGAAAACAAGGGGACCCCTGGAACTGGGTCCCCTAAAGGGCTGTTTATTCCTTGGTCGGATCCCCCATAAACGCATCCCCTCCCCAAAGCACCGCGCCTCGTTTCCCAGCCTTATTTACTAAAAATGTCTTTTGTATCTACATTTCCCGGGGATGGAATTCTCCTTTCCCTGTCTCCCTTTCTCCTCGGTCCTCGGTTTTCCAAAAGGAACGAATTTAACATGGAGAATTGGGGTTTTGGTCAAAGAACAAACCCACCCCCTTCCGAACAACTACATTTTCAAGGAGCCCCCCTTTCGCCAGGGTGGACAAGCGAGAAATGAATAAAACCCGAATTCAATGGCATCTCGGATCAGCAAATACCACACTCACTTCTGAGGCTCAAGATTAATCTAGAGCAGAGTGGGGAGAGTCTGACGAAATCCCCCCCCCCAGTCCCCTGCCCCTGGGATCCCTGAAGCCATTGGAGTCTGCAAAAGGGGGTTATTGTGGGGAAATCTCTTGATGGAGGCGCCGGCAGAGGTGGGGGTGGCAAGGAACAGGGTGTTTTTGCCCATGAAGACCCCAAAATGGAGAAGAGGAGTGGCTGGGCCCCAGGGACAGCGCTGGATTTCCAGAGACCCAACTGCAAGCAAATGGAGGGTCTTCGGGCCCCCAGATTGGGATGAGTGGAAGGCTATTAGGATCTAAGAACAAGAGACCTTCTGAGACGGGGAAAGTCCTCCAGCCTCTGCAGCGAGTAGCAGGGAAAATGGTGATTATCAGAGAAGCCAGGAGTTGGATTCTGAAGGCGACACCAGCAGAAAATCCAGGAGGGGTGGGCGGGTGGGGGGCTGGAAGGAAGCAAGGAGAAAGGAGCCCCAGCCCTGCCGGAGCCCACCCCCAGCCGACGCCCCCCCCACCTCCGCGAGACTCGGCGAAGAAATCGGGCCGCGGGCAGACAAGAGGCGAGTCTTACCACCAAATTGGGTAGCCGGCGAGGACCCCGGTGCCACAGAGCAGGAGGCCGAGGAGCAGCCCGAGCAGGTGGGGCTCCATTAGAAGCGGCGCCGAGGAGGAAGTTTGCCCCCGACCATGAAGAGGGGGAGCGACGCCCCCAATAGTTGGAACAAAGTCCACTTGAGATTGGAAATGACTTTCGGGCTTGTCAGAAGCGCACCTCCACCCGCAGCCGCCCCCCTCCGAGCCCAGCGCGGAGCAGCCGGGTTTGAGGATGTCAGCGAGCAGCCAATCAGCGCCCGCGGCCTAAGGTAAGAGATGAGTCTGTAGTTCAGCCTGTCAATCACGCGCCCCTCCCTCCCGGCCCACGAGTCGGGCTCGGGGAAGGGCATCGCCCAGCAAACTTGGGCAAAGCCCGCGCCCCGAACTCAGGGAGAACTTGGGGGGTGGCCACGGCACGTTGGACCCTCTTGCTGGCCTGGGACCGCCGCGACACCCCCCGCCAGCCAGGTTTAGGGAGATGGAGGTTTGACCGGGGCGTTCACGTGGTGCCGGGTCGGCGTGGGCACGGATGGGTGGCTCCTTTTCTCTCGGACGACCGTGACCCCTTGGGGCTTGGGCCTTTGAGGAATCGACAGTAGAAAATACAGAGATGTTTCCAGAAACCTTACTCCTGCAGGACAGGATCCGAGGGTCGCAGAAAGGGTTGGGAAATGCACCCCCTCTCAGCCTGCCCGAGCCCGCGAGCCACCAGTCACTCGACCCGGACGCAGGAGGTCGCTTCCCGGGTGTCCGAGAGGCGCGCAGGAAGGTCCGCGGAGGCTCGAAGGTCTGGCTGCGGGCGGCGCCGGGGGACAGAGCCGAGTGTCATTTGAGTCTTTTGTCAGGGATCAGATCGGTATCGGGACCTCCTGCTGCCTTTGCATTTCCTGCAACTGACACCAGAAGCCAGTAGCATTTCCTGCTCCAGAGCCGGGTCACTTTCTCCTCCTCGAGGGGTTCAGGCCCGGCCTCCAGCTGGGTCAGAAGCACGACCCGCAGTCCCATCTGGGTCTTGTGGATGCACTGTTTGGGGTGGGTGAAAGGCAGGAAGTACCCCGGGTCCTCGGAAGACCCTGCTGTCCCCCAGGCACAAACACACCCCCCAACTTTCCTGTCTGAAGCCCTTGGCTCCAACCTGGGTTTTGGTGGTAATGTCCATTTCCCCCGTGTGGACACCAAATGCACCCAAATACCCCCATCCCTCACCATAGGAAAAAAAAAAAAGTCCTTCCAAGCCTCCTGGGTTCTTTCCATCCTCTCCCTCTCCAGAGTCAAGGAATTAGGTCTCATCCCTGAGTGGCGCTGAGATGGAGGGCAGATCTTGGGTGAACTAGGGCCCCCTGTCACCTGGGCAGCCTGCCTCCCAAATCCCCACCCTGGCCACCCAAGGCCCCCCCGAGGCACTAGGGACCCTGGAGCGGCTCTGGGCCTGGGGCGAAGAAAGCTAAGCCAGTGAGAGCGGGGCAAAGACCGCTGCTCAGGGAACCTCAGCAGAAGGGGCAGCCCCAAGTCCTGCCGAGGCCTGGAAGGCGGGCTTTTCACCAGGTGGGGGACACGGCTGGAGGAAGTTCATGTCAGGGGGCCAGACATTTCTGGCCTTTGATCTGGGCCACCCATGCCCACAGCTCCAACCCGCTGGCCTTGCGCATCCTGACAGCCCTCTCCGCACACGGCTGCTTCGGGCGAGGGGAGCTCGGGGAACTGGCCCGGGGGAACCAAGGGTCGGGAGAGCCGCCTGGGCTTGTCACGGCTTCTGCCGCGTTCCTAGCCCGACTGGAGGGGGTGGGGTCCAGGGAGAGATGAAAGAGAGGAGGGAAGGAAAGGAAAGGGAGAGAGAGTGCAGGAGAGAGAGTGAGTGAGCTCGGGAGATGCTAGCAGAGGGAGCCCAAGGAGAAAGAAGGGGAAAGGGGGGAAGGGGAGAGGCTGAGAAGGGGAAGGATGAGCAAAAGAAAAAGCCCTAACCTGCCCAGGGACAGCGGATGGGATGGAGCCAGTGGAGATGCCCTCGTGGTGGGCTGACTCTAGGTTCCTTGTTTCTGACTCACCTGGAAAGGGGGTCACAATGGATCTGCCATTGTCGTAACTGCGCAGCCCCAGGGCCTCGGCTCCAGAGGTAGAGAGCGCCACACACACATCCCCAGTGGCCTGCTAGTTCCCACCCGGATTTCTGTCCTACCCAGCAGGGGCTCTCAGCTGATTTTCTGATCACAGGTGCCTGCCGGACCTCAAATCCTGCCTGACAGCATGGTGGGCTCCAGAGCCCCACAATCATCTTTCTGAGAGCTGAGGAGGGCTCCCTTCCCTGGCCACCGCAACACCACCATGGAACCAGTGTGGCTGGGGGATGGGAGCTAGACTAGATGACCTCTTGGAGTTATTTCTGGGCCCCAAGATTCCACAGGTGCCAGCCCTGGACAGTGGGGGCAAAATATTTCTGAGGCTGCAGGTGGGTATTGGTTGACCAAGTGGTGCCCAGCCAGTAGCCCTGGGCCATGTAGGTTAAGACTGGTCATTCCCTGATGACCAGTACCGGTGCCTCCTCCAGGCAGCCTGGCAGCCGGAGAGACCCAGGTCCTGAGCACCGGGAAAGGAATGGAAAGGGGGCTGGGAAGCAAGTGGGAGCAGGGGGGAATGCAGACTTGTGCCGGCCGCACAGCCTGAGGAAGGAGAGGGTGAGGCAGGCGGTGCGGGAACTTCTGTGTGGCCCCACATGGCCCCTGGAGAATGGAGGCATGTGTGGGGATTTCCCCCCACTTGAAAGCTACCCAGAGGAGGGGATTCCTGATCCCTTTCTCCTCCCCTGCCAGGTGTCCTTCCTTCAACACAAGCTTAATTTCCTTCCTCCTGCCTGCCCAGCGCTGCGGGTTGGAACAGGGGAATGGTCCCTGCGGGGAGGGGGAGCCGCCCCCGGCCACGTGTCACAGACGAAACACCTAACAGGCACCCTGGACCGCAGGGTGGGCTGCACTGGACGTGGAAAGCTCTAAGGCCAGCTAGAGTGGGGAGGTGGAGGCTTCCGCGATGGCTCCCCCCCCCAGGTGGACCCTGAATGGGAGAGTGGCTCTTGAAAGAGGGCAAATAAGGCCGCGAGGGCCAGGGGCCTGGGGGCTGCCACGTGGGAAGCATTTTTTGTTTTGTGTGCGAATATTGGGGACCTCCGACCTGCTATCCCCGTCGCACCCCCACCTCTCGAGCTGCCTCCAGGTTCCTTTTGATGTGCACTCCCCAGGGGCAAGCAGTGGGCCGCTGTGGATTCGGAGCCGCTCCACCGCGCCCCCTGCGGAGGCGCTGTCCAGACAAAGAACCCAACCGCCTAGCCCCCTCCCGCCCGCAGGGGGCTACCCGTCTGTCGCGCGGGGGGAGGAGGAAATCTCCGATCAAACCTTGTGTCATTCAGTTTTGCTGGGAACATGCCGACGGCTGCTGGGTGGTGCTGCGATGCCCAAAACAGCCTGGGGATGAAGAGAGAGGGGAAGCTGCTGCAGGCGGGGGAAGCAGCAAGTGTGAAAGGCCAGAGGCCTCATACAACACGGGGGACCGCGCAAGGCGGAACGGGGGCTCCACTCTCTGACCCACAGAAAGGGGCTTTGAAGTTTATGCTAAGAGTTAGAGCAGCCGCAGGCTGTTTCAAGTGAGTTCCTTGGAGGCCACTAGAAAGCTGGGCAACTTGGAGGCGGGAGGGTCATAGCGTGGGGTGGTGAGCGCAGGAATTAATCGAACAAGAATTATTGAACTGCCCAGCGTAGAGGTAGCGTCCTGGAAATGCCAATAGCTTGCACAGGGTAGGCACTTTGGTGAGCAGCAAATGTCAGTGGAACACACCAAAGCGACCTGAGCCTGTCAGTCTCTCTGTCTCCTGGCCCCGGCGCGCCCCCTGGCGGTGGTGCTGATAATAAGCTAAGGAGTCCGCCGGCAAGGATGGGAGACCCTGCCCCGCCCCTCACCCGCGGGCCCATAGCCCACGCCTCTGTTGGTGTGCAGCCCGGATCTTTGGGGATCCAGGTTAAGTAGGCGTCCTCATGAGTGAATGCCCTTAATCTACTTCACAATCCCTGAGCTTAGTTGGGGATAAAGTGTGCGTGGCTCCCCTCTCCTCCCCACCCAGGTGGCTCTCTTGGGAGGCGGCCCAGATGCAGGATGAGGGAGGGCAGAGGAGAGGTGAGGCTCTAGCGGCAGGTTTGCACTCCTGGGCACCGCCAGGCAGGGGCCCTGAAGCTGCAGCAGCCTTGTCCCAGTGAAGATGAATGAAGGAGTGAATGGTGACGGGAGGATGATGTCACCGAGTCCTTTCTGGCCTGGCCCACCGGCACCCAAGATCACAGATGCCACCTGTGGGAACGTGAGGGGTTTTCCCTGTCACAGTAGCCACTTCTCAGTCTTAGTCTTAGTCGTCTCCAATTCCCCAAGGGCATTTGGGAAAGTGATTTGGGGTCAAAGTCTTTTAAAATGAAGGGAGCAACAGACAGCATGGGGGTGGCAGGCACCACTGGCCAGCTGCCAGTTATCTCGGAGCCTCCTCCATTCCGGGGAGGAGGAGATAACACTGTATATCTCACAGGGAGTTGTCAGCGTTAAATGAGAATGGCGCTGACAGAATGCCAGACCGCGGATGGTGAATAATAAATGTTGGGTTTCCTTCTTCTCTCTTAGGGGCTGAGGAATGAGCAGCTCTCTCTCGAGTGGCTCCTTCTGCCCCGTCAGCCTAAGCTAAGCAAGGGGTGCAACCTCAGGTGCCCAAGAGCCTCCTCCAGAAGGATTTACCCACTGGAGACCCACCCCAAAGTCTCCCCTTCAGAGAGGCTCACGTACCACTTGCTGCTCCTCAATCCTGTCCCCCTGGACCTCTGATTCCAATTTATTTTTCTGCAAAGCCCTTAAATCTGACTTTATCTTACTACATGACACATTAAATATATCTGTTAGGCTGCTCACTTAATGTTGTCTATTTCCTACTCTAAAATCTAAACTCTGTGGACTGCTGAAACCCCAAAGCCCAGAGAAGGGTCTGGCACATAGTAGGCCCTTTATAAACATTGTTGATGACTGGTGGAGGGAGGGAGCAGGGGCTGAGGCTTCAGAGGGGAGGACTGCTGCCTCGTGTCTGGGTGCCTTATGGCCCTCTGGGGTCCTCACCTCCCCACTGTGAGCAGCTCTGGGCCACTAGAGCCCCCTGCACACCCAGTGTCCCCGCTCTGCTTTTTGGCTCCCG